GAATAAGAAAATAACGACAGGGTGATACTCCCACAGCGCTGCTTGAGGATTGACCCCTGACCTCCGACGTGTGGAAAAATATCCTGACGAAGGGCCCAGCCATTATGCAGATGCGACTGCCGCAGGGGCAAGTGATGCGAAGGATGGGAACGAATCTTGTGCGGGGGGCGCCCAGAACGAATCGTGCGAAGGGCCCGGCCTGGCTGCCTATGGGAGCCACAAAACGCGCGCGAGGGCTGCGCCGATGTGGGGCAGTGCCACCGTGCGGAGTTTGCCGCTGGAGCCTCTGGGGGCCACGAAACGCGCGAGGGCTGCGCCGAAATGGAGCGGTGCCGCCCTGCGGAGCTTGCCGAGGGAGCTGCCTCTGGGAGCCACAGAACGCGGGGCTGCGCCGAACTGGGGCGGTGCCGCCCTGCGGACAATGCTGCTCGGGTCGGGCCGTCGGTGGACCTCCCAGTGGGGCAACGAAACGTGCGAGGTGTGCGCCGAAGGGGGAGGGGGGAAGATGGCCATGAGGACGTGCGGAGGGCAGGGATGGCAGCAGGCGGGAGGGGGGGCGTGGAAGGGAGGAGATCTGCAGGGGCGCGGTCTCTTCATCACGAGGAGCCACCACAACAGGCTGGCTTGAAATTCGAACATGCGTTTCACCGTTTCCGGGCCACGGGGCCCTCGTCAAGCCCTGGGACAATCGAACAACGACCCACGATGAAAAGCTGGACCCAGGGAAAAGATCTGGAATTCCGTGGACCCCGTATTGAAAATGATCGTGGGGAAATGCCCGGCCATTATGCAGCTGCGACTACCGCAGGGCAAGTGATGCGAAGGATGGGAACGAATCGTGTGAGGTTTGTGTCAAAATGGCGAGGTGGCGGCGTGCGGGCTTTGCAGCTGGGGTTCTTCGGTGGAGCTCCCTATGCGGCCACGGCGCGCGCGAGGGGTGCGCCAAAATGGGGTGGTGCCACCATGCGGACATTGCCGCTGGAGCCTTCTGCAGAGCTCCCTGTGGGGGCCACAAAACGCGCGAGGGCTGCGCCAAAATGGGACGGGGCCGCAATGCGGACTTCGCTGCTCAGGCTTTCGGTGGAGCTTCCAATGGGGCCACGAAGCGTGTGAAGGGTGTGCCCACATGGGGCGGGGCCACCCTGCGGACTTTGCCACTGAGGCCTTCGGTGGAGTTCACTGCGGAACTACGAAAATCGCGAGGGATGCGCCGAAATAGGGCGGTGCAGCCGTGAGGATTTTGCAACTGGGGCCTTGGGTGGCGCTCCCTGTTGGGCCAAGGAATGTATGAGGAATGCGCCGAAATGGCCACGAAGCGCGACAGGGGTGTGCCAAAATGTGCATGCGGAGGGCAGAGGCATGGTGGGAGGAGAGAGGAGGAGGAGGAGGAGGAGGAGGAGGAGGAGGAGGAGGAGGAGGAGGAGGAGGAGGAGGAGGAGGAGGAGGAGGAATGAGGAGGAGGAGGAGAGGAGAGGGAGGAGGGGAGAGGAGGAGGAGGAGGAGGAGAGGGAGGAGGAGATGAGAGACGCGGGGCGCTGTCTCATCAGCATGAAGATCCAATACCACGGGAATGTAGGGAAAAATCGAGATGCCGGATCCCTAGGACAGCTGGGCTGGCTGGGACAGGCAAAACCCTGTGGCCCTGCCACAGGGAGCGGCAGAGCTGTTGGGCCACGCCAGCCTCACCACGCGAATTTGCACCCCCACCCAGGGCAAACCGCGCAGCATGCCCGCACACGGTGAGCTCGAGAGGGAATCGCGTTCCTCCACTTTGATGGCGTCATGCTCTACGAATAACGAGCGCGGCGCCGAAGCGAGTACACGAGGTCTCCATCTGTGTGGATGTATTGCGCGGAATATGAAGCGATATATCGCTCTTGGACTCCGGCCGCATTCCATCCGTGCGGCTGCGGGGATAACACGTGGCAAGAAGTCTCAGCGCAAACCCCACTGCGAAAACGATCCACGATCCGTCCATAATGCTGGGCGTTTAGAGGTGCACGATCACACATCATGAGGAAGGCACAACTAATTAGGAAGTCGGATGGGGTGGGAGAGGGAGGAACACGAGGGACGAGGGAAGAAGGGAGAGGGAAGAATCCTGCTCCTCCTCATCCGCCTCCTCCTGGAAGAAGTTCGGCGGAGGAGGAGGAGGAGGAGGAGGAGGAGGAGGAGGAGTTGGAAGAGCAGGGGAGAGCGGATGGACACTGCAAGAGCGGCAGCAGCAGGAGAGGGGCGAAGCAGGAGAAACTGCAGCTGGTTGGGCCCTTTATCCTCCTCCTCCTCCTCCAACATCCTCCTCCTCCTCCCTCCTCCTCCTCCTCCGCCTCCTCCTCCTCCTCCTTCTCCCCCTACTCCTCCCCTCCCCCTCTTTAGCCTCCTCCTGCTTCTCCTCCTTCTCCTACTCCTCCTCTTCTTCTGCCATTGTTCATGCTCCGCCGACTCTTCGCTACCCCTCGTCCTCCTCGTTCTGCTCCTGTACCCCTTCACCCGCTGCTGCAGCCGTTGCTGCTGCTCATTCTCCCTCCGATTCCCCCTCCTCCTCATCCTGCTGCAAGGGAAAGGTACCGCGCACCCCAGAAATGTACCAGTCAACTCAGCCAGGCCAGCGCGATTTGCCGAACTTGCCTTCACAAGTGACGGCACAGCCCCTTCTCTAGCAGAGTTGGGTCGCCGCGTCTCGTCGCTACGCTGCGTGCAAACTTCCTCTCCTCCTGCCCGTCGTCTCGTCTTCCCCTCCCCTCCCATCGCGTCCCTCTTCCCCTCCCTCCTCTCATACAATTCTTCCCGCCTCCTCCTCCTCCTTGTCCTCCTCCTCCTCCGCCTCAGCCCTCTCTTCCTCATCATCATCCTCATCCTCCTCCTCCTCCCCATCCTCCTCCTCCGCCTCCTCCTCCTGCTGTCCTTTTCTGCCTGTTGCTGTTGCTGCTGCTGCTGCTGCTGCTGCTGCCGCCCGCACTGTTGCGGCTGAGACTGTCCTGTGCTGGGGGGGGGGTCAACCAGGCACGGGTACTGCTACTCCCCAGACCTCCCTGGAGTTGCGATCTGAATCGAAGTGCGAGTGCCAGAAGGAACCTCAGAAGGAACCTCAGATGCAGCGCCAGTCGGCACAGCCGCGTGCGACCCAGGTGCTCCCTTCGACGCACACACCCATGCGCACGCGCGCGCACACGCGCACACACACACGCCTTCACACCTTCACACACACACACACTGAACACCGCGTGCCCCACAGCGATCCCAGCCGCAGGCTCAATTCGGCACACCCCTCGCCTACGACGTGCCAACACACTCACGATCACCACCACACATAATATCACCATCACTATCACAGTCACCATCCTCACCATGCTCGTCATCATCACCATCGCCACCACCATCATCACCACCACCACCATCACCACCATCACCGCCATCATCATCACCAGCATCAGCATCAGCAGCAGCAGCAGCGTCACCATCATCAGTATCATCATCAACAGCATCGTCAGCATCATCGCCATCATCATCATCCTCATCAGCAGCAGCTTCGCCATCGTAATTAGCAGCATGATCACCATCACCATCATCACCAACACCATCACCATCACCATCACCATCACCAGCAGCATCATCAGCAGCAGCAGCATTTACATCAGCATAGCCACCACCATCGTCATCGCCACCACCATCACCACCTACCACCACCACCGTAACCATTATCCGAATCAGCAGCATCAGCATCAGCATCATCGTCAGAATCAGCCGCATCATCAGCAGCAGCAGCGTCAGCATCATCATCAGCAGCAGCAACATCATCATCACCACCACCAACATCATCATCATCATCATCATCATCATCATCATCATCATCATCATCATCGTCATCATCACCATCATCATCATCATCATCGCCACCACCACCATCATGAACATCATCATAATCAGAATCGTTTCCGTCATCATCAGCCGTTTCAGCATCATCATCACCATCATCAGCATCATCATCTGCAGCATAATCAACACCATCATTAGCATCATCATCAGCATCATCATCAGCATCATCACCGTCACTGCCATCAACAGCATCAGCGTCAGCATCATCATCAGCATCAGCATCATCATCGTTATCATCACCATGATCATCGTCATCATCATCATCAGCATCACCATCACCACCACCATCACCACCCACCACCATCATCAGCATCACCATCATCATCACCACCATCATCATCATCATCATCAGCATCATCATCATCATCATCCTCATCCTCATCCTCATCCTCATCCTCATCCTCATCCTCATCCTCATCATCATCATCATCATCATCATCCTCGTCACCAGCAGCATCAACATCGTCAGCATCATCGTCGTCACCACCATCATGAGCATCATCATCATGTTCATCATCATCATCATCATCAGCATCATCAGCAGCAGCATCGAAATCGTTATCATTATCAAGACCTGAATCACCATCATGCCCCCCCTTGGATCCGTGGGGCTGGTTCGCCACGTGCTTTCGGAACGGGTGGAGGGGTGGGGGGGGAGAAAGGGGGGGAGGAGGAGGAGGTGAGGAGGAGGAGGAGGAGGAGGAGGAGGAGGAGGAGGAGGAGGAGGAGGAGGAGGAGGGAGGAGGAGGAGGAGAGCAGGAGGAGGAGGAGGAGAAGGAGGAGGAGGAGGCGGAGGAGGAGGTGGGAAGGAGGGGGGAGATGAGCAAGCTCCGTCCGAGGGTCAATCACCCACCCCCAGCCTTGATAAACATCCCGTCCAGAGTTTGACGGCGAACCTCGGGGGCAAGTAAAAGGGGGCAGGCCTTCTCAGCAGGCGGCAGGGCTTCTCAGAACCCCATCGCGCCTTCTGAGTGACCGCCTCTGTCTTCGGACAAGGCTTAGAAGATTTCTCCCAGGGTGCGAGGGCTTCTGAAGAGCCCCGCCGCCTTCTGAGAAGGCCTGCCCCCTCTCACTCCCCCCCGTGCTCGCCATGGAAAGGTAGACTTCCCTTCGGACGGCCGGTCCTCATGAGCCTGGGCGCGCAGAGGTCGAAGCAGAGCACGCCGCCGCCCTCGAAGACAACGCTGCCTGCGGTCGGCGCAGCGGCATGCCGCGCGCAGCGGGCGCGGGCGCGGCCAGAAGGCGGCCGTCGGAGGTGGCAGCCAAAGGGAAAGAAGGACGACGCCACGGAGGGGAAAGAGGACGGCGGTGTGGAAACGAGTGGAGGAAGAAGAAAATGACGGCGGTGGTAATGATGATGGCGACGGCGGCGATGATGGTGGTGACCTTGATGGTGGTGATGATGACGGCGACGATGACGACGATGATGATGATGGCGATGGTTGTGGTGGTCATGGTTATGGTGATGCTAATGGTGACGGTGACGGTGATGGTGGTGGTGGTGATGATGATGTCGATGTTGATGTTGACGTTGAAGATGATGATGGTACAGATGGTGGCGACGACGGCTACGAGTTTACAAGAGGAGGGAAGGAATACCATATAGGAGGATATGCGCGTGGGAGGAGGAGGAGGAGGAGGAGGAGGAGCAGGGAAGAGGAGCGAAGAGGGAGGAGAAGAAGGAGGAGGAGGAGAGAAGAAGGAAGATGCGCCCATCAGAGGCGGGGTGTCCCGGTTGCCACAGAAACTCAAAAGCAAATCCCACCAGCCCTCTGGGCGTAGGTGGTTTGGGGAGGCTCCTCTTCCTACCCCTTCTTCCCCTTCGGGGAGGGGCTTACCCCTCCCCCCTCCCCCGTCCCCCTGGACGGGGGTGGTCGCGGGTAGTTGGATCGTCCGAAATGGCCCAAGACGGCTCCAAGAGCGCCACGCAAAGCCCAAGATGACCTCCAAGATGGCTCAAGATAGCGCAAGATGCCTCAAGATGGCTTTCAAGATGCTCCAATTAGCCCCAAGAACGCTCCAAGACGGCCCGCAGAGGCCTCCGAGACCTCCACTGAGTTCCCCAGGAGGCCAACATCCGTCAAGAACCCAATGCAAACCAATGATTGTTGCTGTCTCGCCTTGTCGCTTACGACAGCCATCCGAGGCCTCAAGATGGCTCCAAGATGGCCCAAGAGGGCCCCAGGAGAGGCCCGAGAGAGCCTCAAGACGGCCCCAAGAGCGCCCGAAGAGCGTTCCAAGAGGGGCCCGGGAAGCGATTTGGGGGGCTCCCGAGGGGGGAGGCTACTTGGAGCTCCCCTCTTGTTTGATCGATGTCCTCCTAGATGGCCCCAGGAGAGCCCCTAAAGCTCCCCAAAGCGCCCCAAAAGGCGCCCAGACAGCCCCGAAAGGCGCCCCCAAGAAGCCTCAAGATAATCTCCAGGGCACCCAAGACGCTCAAAGAAGCCCCTGGGCCGCCAAGAGGCCCCCTGGACATTCCAGGAGGCCCCCATAAAGCTTCCAAGAGACATCCGAAGGGACTCCGAGAGGCATCGCATGCAAGAGGTCTCTGGCTCTTCTGCTCGTCCTCCTCCTCCTCCCCTCCTCCTCCTCCTCGTCCGCCTCCTCCTCCTCCTCCTCCTCCTGCTCCTCCTCCTCCTCCCTCCTCCTCCTCCCCCACCTCCTCCTTCTCCTCCTCCGATTCCTCCTCCATCCTCCCCTTTTGGGCTTTTGGGGTATGACAGCATCCCCCGTCCTTTGTTTCTCTATGCTCCCACACTCCCCTGATCAAAGCAACTCTTCTGGGCATCGTTGCTGGAAAGCTGACCGACAAATCCCGATAGTCGGTACACTTCGCTCGAGTGGCTGTTTTAGGATGGGCTGGTGGGGATTCGCCAAGTGTCAACCACATCTCCCGGTTATCTTCAGAACCCATGCTGCGCAAGAGCTCGCCTGCCAAATTCCTGATAATGCTGGGGTCCCGCGTCCCAGTCGGACTGAAACGGGAGGTCCAGCCAGACTGCTCCCAGCGGTGGACCTTGCACGCCACTTTTTTGGAGAAGGTATCCGAAGACTTGCTGGACGCAGACACCCAGGTGCACTGAAGGGGCCCTGGGACACACAAATGAATACACACAAATAAAATGATTCCCCATATGTTTCCATATGTTCTGGGTTTTTGTCTTCCCGCCCAATTCCTATAGGTTCCCATATTTTCCTGGGAGTCGAAGATTAATTGTGTCTGTGTGTTTTTTCCCCTCTTGATGCACCTTTGCGAATTGACCCAATCGTGGTCTTACTCGCCTGCCGCTCTGGCTGCCCAGCAGCCTCGGTGTCGCTGCACATGCGAAATCCCAGACACACACGCGAAAAGTGAAGTTTCGACCACTGCGTGCCCGCTACCTGCTTGACAGCGCGGCTCCTGCGTAAGCAGATTTTTTTTGTTTTTTTCCAGCGCACGATATTCGTTTTGTCTTTGTTCCCAGAGCGAGACGACACCACAGATGAGGAAAAAGACGCGTCTCACATGCAACCTCTTTGTTGCACCATACCGAGCACTCCATGCCCCTGGGCCCCTTTCAAAGCAGGGTGCAACAGAACACGGGAGGCACAACTGCTGCGCCGTCTCGGCACGCAACGGCACCGAAGCATCCACGCGACGGGCTTGGACTGGCGTCGAGTAAATGCCTGTGGCCTGGCACAGGGGCCTTGACGTGGCGCTGGCTCGGCTCTGATGATGCCTCCACCAACATCGCCGAGCTTCTGTCTCCGTGTACTGATAGGGTTGCAGTTGTTGGTCAAGAAACGGTAGTCATTCCAGAAACGTGCGATCATCCTCTTCACTGCGACCTTTACGCCGTCAGTGGAACAAGCCGTGCAGGTGACCCAGGGCCCTAGGATCCTCACCGTCGGCAGGACCTTCCAACGAGACCCGAAAGCCTCCTGGAAGGAGGAGGAGGAAGAAGGAGAGGCTCGGTTCGGTCCACCCCAGAAGCGCGAGTCAGGCTCGCAACTACCGGGCGGGTGCGACTCCCCTGGGAAGCAATAGCGGAGGTTGGCCTAATCAGGGCCCCAGCGCCAGATCCACATGCGGTCCCGCAGCAAAGAGGCAAGAACACAAAAAAGGGGCCGCAACAAGGCCCGCACTGTCTAAGTAAGTGATTAGACACCCTCTCTGCTACTCCCGCCAGGTACCTCCCCGTTCACGGCCATGTTGTCGTACACGGCGTCTCCAACCACGAATGCGGGCGCTGCCGCAGTGGAGGTGAAGCGCGGATTGAATGACAAAGTGGACAGGCGAGCGTGGACGGAGGCGGAACCCCCACAGGAGGAGGAGCAGGAGCAGGAGGAGGAGGAGGAGGAGGAGGAGGAGGAGCAGGAGGAGCAGGAGTGTATCTGAGAGCGCCGCGGGTCGAGGAGGGGGAGGTGGAGGGGGCGGAAGAGACCTTCTGACCCTGGCACCTGACATCCCTTCACCCCCACACCTTCCAAGTCTGTCCTGCCAAGACGCCACGACAGCCCCATGCGGGGCCGGGTTGCGGTGTGGAGCTCCTCGTCCAGGTGGGGCCATTGGCCGCCTTGGACATCTGGAGCGTTTGAGCGTTTGGACAGGAGGGGGGCGGGGAGGGGGAGAAGCCGCAATGACCGTAGCTGAGGGCGCCGGGGTCGAAGAGGAGGAGGGGGAGGGGGAGGGGGAGGGGGAGGAAGAGGAGGAGGAGGAGGAGGAGGAGGAGGAGGAGGAGGAGGAGGAGGAGGAGGAGGAGGAGGAGGAGGCGGAAGAGGGGGACAGGAGGGGGAAAGGGCAGCGGCTTGGCCGACCTCCCCGCTCCGCGCCGCGAGCCCCCGGCGCCGCTCTCTTCTCCCCCGCGCGCCCGCGCTGCTGTGACGGCGCCCGGCGGTCGGTGCGCTGCTCGCTCTGGCCTCTGCCTGGCCCGGGGCTCCGGGCTCCCACCGGCACAGGGCACGCCGTGAGCACGTGCACTTTCGGAGCTCCGCCCGGATGCCTTGGATCGGCGCTGGAGTCCCCTCGGGCGCTCCTCGCGCCAGGGGCGGGGGTCCAGCGCCGCTCCGAGAGAGGGATCTGCGGGGACCTCCGAGAGCTGAGGCTCACGGCGTGGGCTCCCTCTTCGAGCGCCGACCGCGCCACTCCGCGGCGGCCTCCCCTTCGCCAGCTGCAGCAGGGGCGGCTGCGGCTAGCCCCAACAGGGAGGGAGCACGGCATGCATCCAAGGGCTCCGATCGCTTATGCCTTCGGCGAGGCTTCCTGGCGAAGATGCGCACTACCTGCCCCTGAGCCATCTATCTCTTTTGCCTCCGCCGACCTCTCCCCTACCGGCGGCGTCTCCCCCGGGACGGGAAGAAGACAGAATGGGGCAGACATTACTCGGGATCTCTCGGCCGGATGGGCCCAGAGGACGTGTCGGACGCCGCTGCAGTTCAATGAGCGCCCCCGAGCGTTCTCGAGCGAGCGTTCTGGAGCGCCTCTGGAGCCATCGATCTCCTTCTCAGGCCTGCCTGACCTCCTCTCGTCCTCCTCCCGCTTCTGTCACCCTCCATCCCAACACTCCTGACCGTGAACTTTTTGAGCCAAGTTTGCAAGGGAAAGGCTTTACTCATGTGGTGTGGTGGTGCGGGGGGCGCCTGTGCAGCATCGACCCTGCCTGCACGGTGGCCCCATAAACTCCGAGACAGGCACTCAGGGCGAAGTATTGTTTAAGATGTTGATGTGTTGGAAACTGTCGAGAACCGCCAGGAGATGCCCAGGCGTCCCACACAGTCAGACGAACCCAGTGCCCCCAGAGCTCGATTCGACTCGTTTCGTGGCTGCGTAGGCTCAGACGCACCGAAAGCATCCAGTAGAGAGCCCCACGAAAGACGTGAACGCGCCCAGTAGAGAGCCCCACAAAAGACGTGCGCGTCCAGCCACGCACACGAACACCGCCCCCCAGTCCACGAGATCACCTCCGCGTTGCGAGCGCCCGCGCAAGGGCACACTTCCCCAAGCCCAGGAAAAGTAACGTGCAAGTGCGTCTCTGTTTCGCTCCCGACCCACCCAGAAGAGATCCAATGTCTTGCTCCCCTGATATAGAAGAAGAAGAAGAAACACCATATACATAAACTGTTCGCGCTGGGCGCGGGTTTCTTGGATCCGCTCTGGACCCCAGGCGGCTCAGCGCGGATCCAAGAAATCCGCGCGGAGCGCCACAAAA